ATATAAAATTTAATAGATGGCTTACAATCTAAGTTTCAATGATTATTAAATTTAATTTTTTTTTAAAAAAAAAGGTATAAATAATTAAAATATTATTTGACTTAACAAATAGATAAATATTTATTACCATTTAATTCTTTTAATGTAGGTTCATCAGGAGCATCCGAAACTGGCTCTATCATGTTTTCAAAATTTATTACTAGGATTATAATTATTTATAGTTTTACACGCTCTAAACAACTAGATTAAATAATATTATAAATTTTCTTACCATTTAATACTTCGAATATTTTAAATAAAATTAAGTATAATTAATAGATTATAATATTTGATGAATAATTGCTAGTAAATTTACCTTTATCACTCGAAACTAATTATATATTTCAAATTATAAATAAAAATATAATTAATAAAGTTGACGAATTACATTGTTATTTATTATATTTAATTTCATCATTTAAGGTTAGTTTACATTACAATTTTTCGTAGTATTAATTTATTTACCTTCGTCACTTGAAGCTGGTTCTACGTTAAATTTGATCAAATTTAATTTTTAGTAAATGAAATTTTATTATAACATTAATATGGTTAATAAATAATACATGGAAGGAAGTACCTTCTATTTCTTCTGTTTTCTTAGCATCCGAAACTGGTTCTGTGAATTTATGGAAAAATATTTTTTAGAAAATCATCAAATAAATTCATTTGAGAAATACTGAGCTTCATACCTTTTATTCCTTTTTTTTGTTTGATAATAATGTTTTTAAATCTATCTATTATATTTTTACCTTTATTGTTACTATCAGACATTGTTATAAATTTGTAAGAATAAAAATTGGTTAAAAAAAAAAAAATATTATTATCTTGTATAACGTAACGTTAACAGTGATACACATCAATATAGCTAATAGTCTTACCAAGATAAACGGGTGAAATTACAGTCATGTGATTTTTTCTCTTTATTTCACTGCGCCGATGAGACACGTGTTAACTATCACGATTTTTTCTCAGCTGATATCAAAAGATCAGGAATGGTAATATGTCTGCTTGGACTTTAAGCATCTATAGAGCCAGAAAAAATTGATTAACATCGTGATGATATTCTTCCAGAAGCTAGTCAAGCAATAAAATCAACCTACTTTATTATAACTTTGCAGAAAATGCGAGTTCGTTTGATTGTTGATTTCGGTGATGTTAATCATGGTAAGTTTTATTTTTCGTTTGATTTTTGCTTTACTTGCGCAAGGCAGATAAAGGGTTCACTAACCAGGACATTACCCTATTATATAATTCGCAGGATCGATTTTGGAATACACTTTTGGGAAATTACGTTACATCATGAAAATCTGATCAACGGATCCGCTTAAAAAAAAACTTTGACGCAACCCATATACAAAGTTCAACAAGGAGGTCTTTTTTGTTATACATAAAGCTTTGAATATATTCGAGAAAATACATGCAATTACTTGTTCCCGTGATATAATTCATTTCTAACTTCAATGATAATTTGAAATTTATTCGAGAAATTTTAGCCCTCAATCCCTCAACCGACAACCATATGAAAAAAATATATAATGTCTGGTAAATTAGTTGCGCCAAAAAAACAAAAACAAATAAAATTATGTTTCAAGATATTTTACCTATTTTATTATATAGGTCGTTTGCTATTAAATCGAATTTCAATCATATGATCCGTAACATAGAAAACCTCCAGTATTATTTGCAGGCAGCCTATAATATAAACTGAACATTCCTTACGAGTACGATTTCCTAAATATACACGAATTCCTACCTACCTATATCCCGAATACTTATCGTAATAAAATTTAATACCATATTTCCCAGCTTGTAAGTTTTTTTATAGGCATTTTCTATACAAAAAGGTTGATAAATAAAGAAATTAAATGTTTAATTCTTGGGATAAAAAACGTTTTTTTCAAAAAAAAAGCAAATACAAATACTTATATTTGATTCATTTCGCTTTCAAATTTCATAAATATTACTTCAATAAACTCTTTTTATGATATTTTTTAATTTAAATGACTTCATGTAAGCAGTTTGTTTTATTTTTGGTAACGAGCTTATTTTTCAATAATGGATTACATAAAATATTGATCATTTTGTTAAAAAAAAATTAAGTTTATTATTTTATATGTAAATTTGTAAATTAACAAAATCATTCTTAATACACTTCGTCAGAAAGATTTATTAGCGAAAGGAACTATCAATTTCATATGAACAAATATGACTATATTTACATAATAGATTTTTTTATATCACACCACCCGCTATAATTTATAATAGTTAACCACTTGATGACATCGTCTCCTATCCGAAGACATGGGGCTAGAGTCAACCTATAACCATCACCTCCTCCACAAGAGGGAGTATAAACACTCACAAAGTGAATGCAAACTGAGGAATAGACAAATGAATTCTATCCTTATTTATATTAAAAAAGTGAAAAAATATGCCAATAACATATATATTCGTTTTTATCGCAATTTTTAATAGTCATTTTTTCATTTTATTTTTTCCAAAATGGGTAAACCTTCAAAATACTCGAGTAGTAACGAAAAAACTAGAAAGTTCTTATTGTATCAAAGAAATAAAAAAAAAAAAAAAGAAGAGATCGGTGACTTGCAAGTCGAAATTCAAAATTTATTAAAGGAGCCGGAGAAAAAGTTTATGAAATCTCAACGTGAATAAAATAATTTATTAAAAGGATTAATGTCTATACAGAACAAATAAAAAAAATAAAAAACTCGAAAAAGAATTACATTTATTTCATTTGAAATTCTATACATCTACTTTAAACACACAACCATCACAACCACAACAAATACATTCACCCCTACACAACCATCTGTTTTAAAAATACGAAAAGGAAAAAAGGAACTTTTTTATTCATTATTTAAAGTTCATATTTAGAAACCAATCAAAAATGAACCGTTATTATTGAATTGATCGTAAAAACCGAAGAGAAGGCTTGGTAAGATTATTATCAAAATTTCTTTATATCAAAGTTTTATTTTTTTTGTATGCTTTATAATAAATAAATTTATCTTATTTATAATAGTATTAACAATTAAAACAAAGAGCAAATCGAAATTATCAAAAACTAAAAATAAAATGAAAACTTCAGATAGTCTAGTCGGAGAGTTTAAAATTTTTAACGTAAGGTTGCGGGGCAAAACACTAGTCCCATTTTAACAAAAGTCCGAAATACAGTTCCTATGATTCGTGAAAATAAGTTTGTCAAAAGGGCTACTGTTACCATAATTTCAGCGTTTCAAAGATAAAACATAATTAAATTTTTAATCTGCCCATTTTACTTAGAGAATGTAAAAAGATTCAGATGTATTATTCTAAAATAAAAAATAGGCACACACGAATTTTTCTTAAAATTTTCATGGGTATAATGTCAACGCTTTTGGTGGGGTTTGTTACCCATCGAAAAATTTGCCACCAGTCGATTTGTCACCCGAAACTTCGCTTTTTTCTGCTTGCTTCAACTATCGATTTCTAAAATTATTGTCGTAAGCTAAATAAGGAATTAGTTCCTTCTTTATTCTCTTTTAATAAACTAGCTGTCTCTTTCAAGCTCTTTCCAAGGAAATTGTTATTTCAAATATCCTGTATAAAAAGAAATTTTTATAGAGAAAGCTTTTTTTAAAATCAATATGGATAGACATTAAGGCGAACTTACTTCAATAACTTTTTATTTGTTATTATTGTTATTATTATTAGTTCCCTGTCATTATCGACAATAGTTCTCCTTCCGTATCATTTCCCCGGAATAGTACAAATATCTTCCCAGTGTGAAAATTTTCTTCTCCTTGATATTTGATTCATTGTAATTGGAACTCCATTCTATTGCCTTTCCACGAGAATATTGCACAAATCTCATATCTCCTTTCGATTTATAGAAATCTATTGTATGTTATGTAACACAGTATAAACTTGTTTACCAAAATTGCAGCTAACGATTTTCCATTATAACGATAAGAATTCAGTATGAAAAAATTTACGTACGCAGACAAATGCATAATGAATTCAAACTTTGTTTTCCAACTCAAATAGAACAATAAAAGGCATCGGAAAAAAATTTTGTTTTAATTTTCCTATCTTTAATTATATGTAATGTCAAATTTATTAAGGTTATTACAATGTACCAAGCATAATAAGTAATGATAATGATTAGTTTTAATTGCGTCAATGTTAATTTTTTTTATCGCACATTTATTTCAAAATTAATCGATTAATTACCGAAAATGTAAAGAAGAAATGAGACAGAAAGATCTATCTCTGGATTATCGATGAGAAAATATTGATCTTTATGATTTCAAAAAAATAATGTATAATTTACTAGAAAACGGAATCGAAACTTCATACAATCTTTTAAATACTGTAGTAAGCTGCATATACACGAGCATCCTCATTGGTCATTTACGTACAATGACAAAATTGGATTATTTCAATGAAAGAACTTTATTTAAAAGGCCATCTCTATGCCAGAATCGATATCATCGTTACGAAGATAGTCAATTACAACAAGAAATAAATGAAAAAGTACAGTAAAAAGTTTTTATATGCTGCCAAACTTAGAAATGTAGATCCGTGGCGCAGTGATGACACGAATTCACACGATTTTTGGAATTTGACGACTTTTCTACAATTATGAGAAAACGCCAATATGATTATTTGGCGGCATGTTATTAATATCAATTAACCAATATAGGCATTCACGAATACATTTAAATTACATAATTTGGCTGTTTTTCCTTAAAGAAAAAATTTTCACACGTAGTTGATCAGCTGATCATGTGTCTGGATTAAGCATTGCCAAATTAAGATAAGGTTCGTTCAAGAATATATCTTTAGAAATGATCGTTATAAAAACACAATATAAAACGACCCTACATTTTAACATATTCATATTTTTAAAATCAAAAAAAAATACTTTTTTTTTGGTTTTTTTTACAACAAATTTGCTTAATATGGAATCTTCCGGAAATCCTAAAAAGCAAGAAGAAAATGTAAATGAAAAAGCGGATAGTGATAGTAACGCATTTAATTCGCCGTCAAAAAACCAACCGCCTAATAATGAAAACAGCTTGGAACAGTCTACTAGTCAACCTATCAATAACAAGAATAGCAAGGATGAGAACAAAATCAAAGTTATTTTTCACGCTCATTTTCCAGAAAATACTTTTAAAATTGGGCATCCCGTAATTTTTGGTGACGGAAAAGAGTTAGGTTCTTGGGAGCATCCCAATATTAAACTTCAACAACCATTTCCTCAAATTCCAACGTATTGGCAATCTAATCCAGTTAATATTTCTTTATCAAATATTGCTGAAGGGCATGTCATTCAATATAGATATGCTATTCATACAATGGAAGGAAAAATTGTATTTGAAGGAGATAATCGAATTTTGGATACTGCGAGAAATGATCAATTCGGAATATGGAAGAACACTCAAGCTTTGCGTATATCCTTGGAGAAAATTCAAGACTTTACTTTTGTCAATTATATTTATAATTCTATCAATGCTGATAACCTTAAAGATAAAGTCATGCAATTTCAACATTTATTAGCTAATCACGAAGATCTAACAATTCGTGCGTCAAATCTCAAATTTATTATCAATCGTATTAATGATGTATCAAAAGCAAAACGACTTTTTTTATGTCTCCTCTTAGGAAATCATATTCAAAGACAAACTATGCCTTACGAATTATCAAATGAATTTCCATCCGAATTATTACTTGATGCACTAGAGGGATATAAACAAGATATTTTACCTCTAGACACCAGAGATCAAATGTGTATTGCCATTACAGCTTTAGTCCACCATAATGCTTTTCAAATGCATTTCAATTGGCTCAAGGTTTTTAAAATCGCTGCAAAAGTCGACCCTAAATATACCTTTATTGATCGTTTAAGAGCTTTAATGTATCCTAATGATAGTCTATTAGAAACATTTGTTAAAGGAGCCGAAATTATTAGGCCCTATATCGATGGAATCGATTTTGAAGCTTATGTTAAACTTGCCAAGGTAAATTTTTAATTATTATTATTATTATCATTATCATTATTTTTAAAATCAAATATATTAATAATCTTTTTTTTTTTAAAAAAAAAAAATAAATAAAAAATAAATTATATAGTGGTTAATTCAATTATGCCATAACATGAAGGCACTTTCTCACCTTTGGAGTGGTGTTCTTTTGCATAATGCCGAGTTTGATAGAAATATTTTCAAGTGCTTTGCTAATCGAGTTCAGGTGAATATTTCCGATGATGATGCTATTGCTCTGGACGCTCATTTTAAGGGACTACCTCAAAGTTGTCGTAGTGAAGTTTCCGGAGTTTTCCGGGATCATGCTTTATTATTGCTTAAAAATCCAAGCAGCAAATGGACTGATCAAAACATATTCGCTATACGAAAACTACTTCAAGATGTTAATCTAAACTGGAACGGCGATGACGTCATACTTGCATTGGAGTTGATATCCAAATCTAATGATTTTGGATTATTGGGTATCTTTCCGGAACTTTTGGATGGGTGGTTTCGCAAGGACTTTTCTGATCCTAAAAATAGGATACAAAATATTTGTGTGAATTGGTTTACGCTCTTTTTGATCAAACTGAGTACAAATAATCAATATGCTCCAAATGAAGGTGCCTTCGTTTTTTTGGTATTTCAACAATTAGAACGTATGCATCCTTTGCTTGGCCAGAGGATTAATATTTGGCGAGATATAACAAAAATTGCCATAAAGAGAGTAAAGAAATGCTCAGAAGCTCAAATCTTTACCGCAACAAAATTAGTAGTGCATTTAAAACGTGACGAATTCAAAAATTTATTTGTAGAGTTGGTCAAAAAAGTATTAAGCAAGACAGTTCAAAATATCGATGATCAATTAATAGATAAACTGCTTGTAATTTGTAATTGTGTTGATAAGACTAAACCTTTACTTGTTCCTAATTTGTAAGTTTTTCATCTTATTGTAATCATGTTTTTTCATTAATTTTTAACACAAAGGTTTCTAAATTTTATTTTTCTTTGTAAGGATGTGCGAAGAGATTTTATGCCACGTAATGATCAAATTGCAAAACAAATCGATAGCGTCCAGCCGCTCGGAACATCATTTAAATACTTTAAATGATAGGAAATTTTGGAACGTTATATTATGCGCTACTGGGAGTGTTGAAAACCTTAACTTAAACTCATACGTTAAACATATTAAAGCGTCTATATACGAACTTGGCAAATTGCTTATTGAAAGAACTATTGACATAAAATCATTACAACAAATTTTGAAATATTCAGACGAAGAATTATTCAAACATCTTAACGCAACTTCAGGTGTGGTGATCTCTCTGGATGAAATTGTGAGGGTTAGAGAGCTATGTCATAATTTTCAACTTCAATCCGATATACTTTTCAAGTTTTATGAAAGATTTTGTTCTACTGCTCAAGATGTGAATGTTTATTTACAGCAAATACAAAGTTCCGACAGGGCAAATTTGAGACAGGGTTTAACAGCAGATTATTGGTTATTCCATGAGAAAACGATCAATAGCGCAAAACTTTGCTATAAATTCAATCAGTCTCAAACTTTTCAAAATATATTTGAAATTTGTCTCCAGGAAGATGCTGCTGCTAAAAAAGTAGAATATATAGCAAATACGTTGATGCCAACTGTTTTTAAAAAATATAACGCCTTCTGTGTGCAATTTAGAGAGTGGGAAAAAATTAAATGTTCAGATGCATCCTTATTTTGGAAAAATGTGACAAATTTCAATGTAGAACTCGATTTAATGGGTGGAAATGAGACCCTTAGAGATAATAGTTTTGTACAATCCCTTGATCACGTTTCAAAAATTCCTCAATGGATTGAACGCCTTGAACGACTAGATAAAGTTGCATATATTTTCAATATTCCACGTGATACTGATGATTGGTTGTCGAAATTTATTCGTATTTTAAAGGACGATTCCAGGATGCTCGGACAAATAAATAATTTTTTCGATTATCTTTATAGCAATCTCTCTAGAGTTAATAATGATTGTTGGAAATTGATAAGCGAATTATCTGATGCTGATGATTTTATGAGTTTCTTGAAGGAAATTGCCCAACATGATATTACAAACTTGATCAATGTTATAGATGAAAATGCAGATGAAAAATTGGTCAAGGAGGAGGAAACGGCTTCTTCGCTTATTCAAGTCAAGCAATTTTTATTTCCATTAATGGATAAGAATAATATGGAAACTGTTGCTGATATTTTGGACGCGTTATCCTTAATTATTAAGAAAAATTCCACTTTAAGAGAGAGGATTATTTTATGTAAAAGTAGTAATATGGCATTACAAAACATGTATAATAGTATTTCAACCCGTGGCAAAATTACCAAGGAAAAAATTAAGAATGCCGTAAATAATGGAATTTATACCTTTAAACGTGATGAGAAGGAAGAAAAATGTACCGTAACATTAGTTTTTACCTCCAAGACAGAGATAATTTATAATTTGAATGAAATTTTGGATTTACGCGGACGAGCTCTTTTAATTGTGAAAACTATAATTAATGATAAAGATATGGAATTGCCAAAGAATGTTGCTGATGATTTTATCACTCAAGTTGATACTGCACAAGAAATAATTAGTGTGGTATCCGCATTAATCCAAACGGGACATTTTGATTATCAAAGTTTTGAAAAGAAATTGCGTGGAACAATATCTATGAAAAAGTTTTTAAAATACTCAAAAGATGAGCTTAAAAAATGGTGAATTCATTTTTTTTTTTTAAAAAAACTCGGGATGGGTTCCTTAATAGAATATTAATTAACGAGTTGATGTTTTAAATTTTATAGGGAAGATATAGTAAATAACGCACAAAAAGGGTGTTATTATTTAACATTCTTCCCTGCTCGTCACATCCTAACATTCTACGCTTATTTTATATCAGAAAAACAATTAGATAATGATAATGAAGAAAAATGTAGAACGTTGATTAGATCTATAAACAGCAAAGTTCAATTACCATCTCGTAAAGATTATCTTGAAATTCTTTGTGAAATTGGTGACGGATTAAAAAGAATTTTTAGAAATGTTCCAAAACAAACGCGTGAATTTACAATTACTAAACAACTCATAATGTCAGATATCGTTACAAAGGGTAAATTGTTCGTTGCGGCTTGTACTGACAAGTCTCGAGTTCCAAACATTATCATGTCATTATACGCAAATCATGGATTTTATCCCGAACCATGGCAACTCTTAATATGTACTTCAACTACTACACCGGAAGAGCTCTCGATCTTTATCAAAAGAAGTTTTTTTGCTTCAAATAATGGATATGAGAATCACTTATTCTGTATCGCAAATTTAGAAGAATTAGAGATTGAACTACAATTTATTTTAATTGATCAAATTAGAATATTGCGAGAAAGTTACAATCAATATCTTTTGGCACTTATCTGTTGCAAAGAAACTGAGATGTACAACTATATTTTAGATCAATCGTCCTTAGAAGTTCATTCAACTAACGGGCTAGACACTGAAGAAATGAGAGAAATCTATCAAGAATTATGTCAGAATGTTATATGTGTAACATCAGACTTATCCGGGCAAGGTAAAACCGAGTGGATCAAAGAAACTAGTCTGATTAAAAACCAAGTTCCGCGTGGATTTTTGATAAGAGATGGTATGGATTTTGGTACACTTTTGCACCAATTCAAAGAGTGTAAACTTCGACCCGAAGAAAGTTTGCATATTAATATAGTCACTTCGGACCACCCTGAAGATGTCAATATGTTTTTATTCGAGTTATTAACCTTGGACATAGCTTCTTCCAATATCGATTCAGCTTGTATTTCATCTTCAGAAACACCTACGTGCATATTTATCGAAGTAGCTTCAACTTCACAACAACGTTTGCTTAATTCTCTTCCTATGACGAGATATCTATTGTCCAAACATTTAACTTGGAACATAGAAAATTTGAGAATCTCTCAACAAATTAATAGTCCAATTCAGATTACTTGTCATTATTTGAATTTATATGATCACAACGAGATAGATGCTAAAGAAATCCTCCTCCGAAATGATGCGATCAAAAAACCGATATCAGTAGAACGTTGCCGGAACCTTATCGAGAAATATTTTTTTCATGAAAATTCCAGTGATGTTTCATCATTTAGATTCGTTGAAATCTTTGTTAATGTTCTTGCAGAACAATTAGTTCAATTATCAACTAGTCAATTTTTCTCTGTGGATAATCTGAAATTAATGATGATAAAAGAAGCTAATATTGGATCTTTAATAGTTGGTACTTTGATGGTGGTCTCAAAAGATCTCGCAATTAGATCTATCCAAATGAAGGCTTCACAATTAGAATCTCTGAATAGCGAAAATGTTCGTCTTGGAACGATTGCTCATTGGGATGATTCAGATAAACTTATGGTATTCTTCAATTCCAAAATCCCATATTTGCTTTATCGTGATAGTTCAAAAGTTCACGACAGTGTTAAGACTTTATTCAAAAGCCAAGTAATCGGGGATCGAACTGAATGGGAATTGGATGATATTAATGCGATTCCTGCAAATGCCATCTTCGCAATATTAGAAGAATTGGCACAAAGTTCGACGGAAAAATTAAAACTACCTGAATATGCTTTATCTAGAGATAATTTAATAAAGATGGCACTAATTCTTTTCCGAGCACATGCCAATATTCCAGTTATAGTTTGCGGTGAAGCAGGGTGTGGCAAGGTAACTTCTTTTTTTTTCTTTTAAAATTTAAAAAAATAATTTTTATTAATTTTTTTTTCTCTTAAATTTATTTCTTTTGTAGACAAGTTTAATTGCATACTTGGCTATATTGTCCGGAGTGCAATTTCAAGCTCTTAACCTTCATGCCGGAATTAATGAAGGAACTATCATGACATTTATAGATGACGCTTTGAAAAAAGCAGAAAAGGGAGAGATTTGGTTATTATTTGATGAAATCAACACTTGCAATCACATGGGCTTACTTGCAGATTTAATATCTCGTAGAATATTTAATGGTAAACCTATACATTCAAATATTCGTTTATTCTCTGCTTGCAATCCATATCGTCTTCGTACAAGTGCCCAAAGCGTAACTGGATTAACAAATAAGCCTAAAAAGTATGAACAACATGGTAATCTTGTTTATCAAGTCAAACCACTTCCCGATCAAATCTTAGACTATGTATGGGACTATGGTATTCTAAAATCAGACGATGAATGCAAATATATTCAGACATTGGTCGAGAGAGAATTGAAAGATCTAGCACATCCAGTATTTATAGAGCTTTTATTCGCTTCGCAGAAATTCATTCGTAAGGTTGAAGAACCATATAGTGTTAGCTTACGTGATGTCAAGCGAGCCATAACATTAATGAAATTCTTTTATAATTCTCTTGAGAATCGTCCGCCTTTAAGAAAAGGACTTAAATATCCACCACCTGGAAATCCAACCATAACAACTAGATCATACATTTTAGCAATCAGTCTTTGTTACCATTCTCGATTATGTGATCATGAAATGCGTAAACAATATCGTCATGAAATGGAACAAATCTTACAAAATCATAAAGTTTATGAAGGAGAAAACATGTTCTCTAGAATTACTCGTGAAGAGCAGGAAGATTATATTAATAGAATGAAGTGCCCACCTAACACGGCAAAGAATGAAGCATTATTAGAAAATATATTGTCTCTGATTGCATGCATCTTAACCAGAATTCCTTTGTTTTTAATCGGGGCTTCTGGGTTTGTATATAAAAATAATCAATGTTTTTATTATTTTTAAAAATAAAGCTACTTAATATTAATAAAATCTAATTAAAAAAAATTACAGTTCATCAAAATCTTTAGCTATTCAGATAATAAGCTCGAGTTTGCGTGGATTTAATTCAAGTGACAAATACTTTAGATCTTTACCACATGTTTACTTAATACCCTATCAGGGCTCTTCATTTTCAACTTCTGATGGTTTAGTAAAAGTTTTTGAGAAAGCCAATAGATATCAGGAAACGGATTCTAAACAATTTCCTGTCATTAGTGTTGTCTTGCTTGACAATGGTAATTTTAATAATTCTAATTCATTTGTTTCACCAATATTAATTATTCATCATAAAAAATTTTTTTTTTTTAGTCAGCTTGGCTGAAAAAAGTCCTTTCAATCCTTTAAAAGTACTTCATTCTTTGCTCGAACCGAGTTATCCAGCAAAAGGACCCAACGTATCGGTTATTGGAGTATCAAATTGGCGCTTGGATAATAGTAAAAGCAATCGCGCATTACTTGTTCATAGGTATTGATTTAAATTTGTATAATTCGAAACTTATCATGTGGATCAAAATTGTGAATTTTAATAAATTCTACTCGTTCCTTCCAGACCAAAATTTGGTTTAGATGAATTAGTTGATACCACTAAAAATTTATTAATAGTTGGACCTAGTCAAAGGCTTGGTTTAGAACGTTTAGCTAAAGCATATTTGGAATATGAAGGAAACGGTCAAGATTTTCCTAATTTCCATGGTCTTCGAGATTATTATTCATTGGTCAAACGACTTTCACTATCAGAATTGAAACCAGAAAATATTCAAAGTGCATTAGCTCATAATTTTGGAGGAACACCAAGACACGCAAAATTATGCAATAAATATTTTGGAGACTTTATCGAATCGTTTAACAATGAAAATACATGGATCTATGAACAAATGCCAATTGAGCAATTAATCGATTCAAATTTAGATGAACGTGATACGCGTCATTTAATGGTCATCGGTAAAAGTGATTCGATCGTAGATTTATTGAATTATCAGTTGAGAAGAAAGAATTTGGATCCCGTTATAATTTTAGGGTCTCAATTTACTAATGACCAGGATGATTATTCTTCTAATGTGATGAATAGAATTATGGTAATATCTCATCTAGAAAAAAAATTTTTTTTTGTTATTTATTTATCACATAATCTTGATTATGTTATTTTTTTATCATTAGATGTGTGTTGAAGCAGGCAAACCATTGATTCTAACAAATTTGGAAATGATTTATGGTATTTCTTTAAGATGCTAATTTCATTTGAATAATTATAATTTAGATCCAAATTAATAAATGTTATTTAATAGGCAATCTTTATGATTTATGGGATAAAAATTATATTGTGGTGGGAAATAAGGAAAATGTCAAACATTATACGAGAGTTGCTCTTGGTGCATATTCTAATCCTATGTTGTAAGTAATTGAATGATTCGTCTTTTATTCACATTTTGAATTTGGTTCAAGTTTCAAATACTAACTACTAGTTTAATTCACATTTTTCAGTTACATTTCACCAAACTTTAAATGCATTGTTGTCATGGATGAAAATAAATTGGATTCAGCTGACCCTTCGCTTCTTAATCGATTCGAAAAACAGAAAATGTCAATTAACGACGCTCTTAATAATATACAAAAATCACTAGTAGGAAATTTAAGTGATTGGGTAAGACGAATGTCAACTTTAATTAGAGCTAATCCGAAGTCTCCATCATGCAATAATGAATTTACGCAGAAGGATCTATTTATCGGTTTCAATAAAGATGAGACTTTACAAAGTTTGGTTATTAACTTCACAAAGAGTAATTCTGAAGTTAAAAATGAAGAAATTATAGAACGGTGTAAAGAATGTTTAATAGCAATAGCATCTTCTGATGGAATTGTTAGAGCTGAACAATCAACGTTAAAACCAGATGAAATCGAACGAGTGAAAGAAATTTATTTTCAACAGAAACATGATAACCTTTACGAATATTTTGATGATTTATTAGTTAATCAAAAAGATCCCAAAGGACACTTGGTAATTATCAACACTTTCTCCAACATTAACACTTACGTCAAGTCTTGTCTACAAGAATCTTTAAGATGTCAAGTGGATAAATTGTCAACTTTCAAGACTGAAGCGCAAATTTCGCATCGGGTAATTAAATGTTTAATTTATAACTTTTTTTTTGGATAAACAAATATATTGACAATTTTGATACTCTAGATAAAACATTTCTGGTTAGAATCAACTGATCAGATGCTAATTCTCCAATGCGATGTTACTACCGATAATTTTGGATGTATAAAGCTAGCTAAATACTTAATCGAACAATTCCGAAACGAATTCTTAGAACAAGTTGAACAATATGCGCTTATGAAGCATGCATGCATAATACTCCATATTCATCGGGAACATGAACAATCTTCGCCATCCTTCAATTTTATGTGCGGCTGGAAGCAAATGACTATCGAAACTTTATCAAAAAATGACATTCCTTTATATAACCTTTTGGGAGGAGCATTACCTGATATCATCAATTCTACTTATCCATTCGAAAAAATTTTAAAGCAAGAATTAATGTGGTGTTTATTATGCATGAATTATCCTCCGAATGAAAATTCTGCTAATCATATAAAGTAAGAGTCGGTCTTGTATTTTTTTTATAATCCTTACTTTCTTCAAAAATTTTTACGTTTATTGTTAAATTGAATAATTATATTAATTCTTAGAATATTAAGCGAAAGAATATTGGAATATCCAAGCCTTGTTAAATGCTTGAAAGAAAGGGCTTTAGAATGGGTCAAAGAAAAATCTACTAATGATTGGCAATATAAAGTTGCGTCGGACAAACAAAGTTTATATCCACACGCATCTTTCTCTTTGGCATTACAAACTTACATTAGAACATTAGTTAGGATACCTATAGCTCAAATTTTATACGCCTTGGAGAGATTATCTGCAACGAAAACATTTTTCTATCTTGATAATCGTGTGAAACTGAACGATGATGGATTACTCGAATTTTGGCAACAATTTTATATGGACAGGACAATTATCAAAATTGAAGATTTACCGGATCCAAAACCTAATGGTTATGTCATGACGACGGGAAGTTTATATGATCTTAAATTTCCTTTTTCATTTTATTTTATGAATCGAATTGATCAATTCAAAGTATATTATGAGGAAGAATTGACGATATTACAAAAGAAAAATGCAATTGATAACTCTACTGTTGGACTTCATTTGGTAATTGAGGATCATCTGAAAAGTTTTAGAAATAACATTCTTACATCAGTTCCTCAACTAAAAGATTCTCCTCTTGAGCGGGTTCCTGAATTATATTTTAATGATTTTGTCTATGTAATCGCGTCAAGAAATAGTCAAATTGTGAATACAAGCATTTTATCGTCAATATTGAAGCTACTTATTGGTGATAAAGTGCATCAGCCGATTTTCCTTCATGCTTATTGGTGGAAAAATGCTAATAAAGTATTAGCGCAATTACAATTAGCTCAAATGGCTCCAGAATTTATTCAAAACATTGAAGACCAAGACAATGTTAATGGAAGTTTAGAAAGATACTTAGTAAGAGAAATAACAAAAATGATGCTCCAGAGAATATGTGAAAATTTAGACGACGTAACAAAGACTCTATTACTCGAAAGGTGGCAATTTGATGTAAAAAAAGTATTGAGTCTCAGCAATAAGATAATGCGTGCGGATAATTTACCAGATCTGCATTTATTACGTATAGTAAATGATCTAGTTTCAACAAATTCAATTCCCTTAGATAGTATCAGAGAAATTGTTCAGCTTGGATTAAATTCAAATAAACAAGAAGTTTTCTCAGAGGAATTTGTCAGCACTATACTTGATAAATTGAATAAATTGGAACAAAATGAAAAAAATTCGATATTGAAAAGATCATTCATCATGAGATGTCTTGAATTAATTCCGATCGATTCCGATGTTCGACTAAGTCTTTATAAAAAATTGTTCTCAAGTGAACCCTTCCCATCAATGGGTGCAATCATTGAAAAGATCTTTATTTCAGAAAATAACGAAAACGAGCATATATTCTTTACAATCATTACAAATCCCAAGGAAATTTTAAGGCATTCTGATCGGTTGAATATTATTAATGAATGTTTTAGCGTTTTGGATACAAACATGGCTACATTATGCTGTGATATTATTGAACAAACTTTCTTTATGGATTCTGAATTGAAATTAGATTCCTTTGGAGTTGCCCTTGAAGTTCTATATGGAAAAGTCGTACCATTGCAAAAATTAGCTGCTATTGCGTTACTTAAAGAATTTGTTCGTCGATTCTGGGACTGTTTCTTTCAAACATACAACAAAGGGGACCTTGATAGTCCCGAATTAATTAATCAAATTAATAATAAGATGGCCGCCTCTCATCCTTTGATTAATCCACTCAAGTTTTACTTTTTAAGGGAGTTACGTCAGAGAGATTTTTCAATGAAGGGAGTTAGAAAATTTTGTGAAGATCAGAAAAATGTTTTGCCTTGGCTTGGAACTTTGAATTGGGAAGGCATCAAAGAAACCCGTTTGTCATTTAATCCATATTGCGAATTGCCCGAATATTACGAAGCTGAAAGAGGTCTTACGATTTTCTATAGCATAAACAATAGTGCACCTTTCAAAATATTCATACAAAACGTAAAGCGAAATGATACTTTAACAGCAAGGTTATCTTTAATGGGACTTCTTTTTACGCGTCTTCACTTTTTAAGGGCTTCAGGAGAATGGCAACATCCGGAAACACAATCAGCAGATCTCTTGACCAATGAGATCATTGGAATGAAACATCTCCCGGAATTATTTAAAACAATTGTAAAAAACATCGTGTCGAATAAATCCCCTCTTCTTCAAATTGACAATTCAGAAATTAGAAGTACCGATTTGTTGTTAAAATCTGTTATTGCACATATTATCACACTTTTCGCTTCAGTTGAGCCGAATTCATCTCAATTAGCAATGTACTTACACAGATTACAAGATTGTCGTAATTTGTTTATTTTATCATGTGCACCTGATGCAGCGTCTGTTGTGTATAAAGAGTTCGCTGCTGCTGGATATATGGTAAAATTTGCCTGTGAATGTGGTATGAAATCAATGATCACGTATTGTGGTGACGATAATAAAGGAGTTGTGACTAGCGTATGCGCGAATTGTAATAAAAAGATTACTGGAGTTTTTATTAAAGCAACTGCGGATGTAAAGACAATAGATCAATCCGGATACTTTGGAGAATCTTTAAATCAAGAATCAAATCATACATACAGAAATTTACCTCCAGTTTCATATCGTATATTACATTTAATTGTTCATGTTCTTATTGGAGCTTCTGCACCTGAACCAGCACTTGATTTCCTTCAAACACATGATCAAACGGCCACAGATGCTGAAAGTTACTGTATGGGTCATATTCAAAATGATTGGAAAATTCTCAAGAACATTCTTGATTATTCGGACGAGGTATACTTCAAAAAAAAATTATTTTTCTTTTACGTTTTTTTATTTTAAACTAGATTAAGAATTAACAAAAATGTTATAATTTTATCAGAATTTGGCTTTAATGTTTCATTCATTAATTTCTTTAATGACTGAACAACCTCCATTACCGAATCAGCAAATAAGGACATCTGATGAACGTAATGATTGGGAAATGGAGTTTCACAACAATTATATTGAACCGCAATTTAGAAATATAGCGGAAACGGTAACTAATTATCGCATAAAATTACAAATGGCGGAGGATAAATATAATATTGATGTGATCGAGGATGAGATTAATCAGAATTTAGCAATGGATAAGCAATATCGTATTGAAAATTTACCTAATTTATGGAGGATCATTGGAATGAATGACTTTGTTAGTTTCCGTGAATATTATATTCACGACTTAGAAGAAAACACGAATAACTATCCATTCCTTTCATTGTTTATCAAATACTTCACACAATTAGAATTACTTAAACATCTTTTACCTATTGTAAAATTTGTCCAAATTTTAAATTACAAACTTGGATATTACTTGACGAGACAAGATGCAAGAGAAATAACCTTTAGGGAATTTTTAGAAAATGAGTCTGATAACCTTGAGAATCGTGAAAAACTCCATAACGCCTTTAATGAGTTTAAACTTGGTTGGAATACTGTTATTCCATTTGTAAGACGATATCGATGTATTGAACTTCCAAACGATAAACCAATCATGAAATATGAATTCCCAGTCGTTTTTGGGTTAATGGAACCGAAGGATGCAGGAATCTATTTATGCGCCATCTTAGAATATTTAGTTGCTATACAAAATAATTTCCTACGAGAGGTCATGACAATTCCACCTGGAACTTGTAGTTCACTCAAGTTTTTGGATGAATCGACGTTTGATATTGAACAAACTGTCGTACCAATTTCAAAAGCAAAATCAATTATATCAATTGAAGCTAACGGATATCACCTCCAATCTATGCGTATTGAACATATCAAGTCCGAAAATATAGTAAATTTTATTCGGAACAACGAAACACTTTCTTATAGTCATAGAAATTTGGCAATTGCCAGAGGACACGAGATCGTTTATGATTTAACGAAGATTGAGTCGGACTTGGCAAAACTTTTAGTTTTTAACAAAGTTTACATTGAAACGCAACCGGAATCTCAATTGTATTTAGAAATTTTCCCATATCACATGGAATTGTTTGCCATATGCATGAGAATCCTTGACGATCTTAAGAATTTAATACCTCAAGAACCAATCCCAATTGAGAAAATGGGCTTGTTAGGTGCACAATTTTTACAATTAAATTTAGATGATGCGTTAAAAATTTTATCGTCGTTGGAAATTCTTTTGTCGTTTATCAAACGTATAGCAGTTGGAAGTGGAGAAAATTTGATTAGGGATTACATTTTACAATGGATGAAATTATCTTCATTGATTGAACATAAAGAATTTTCTAACTTATTAAACATCGATTTGAAACTTAAACACTTGGTGGCTTTATACGAATTCATTGAAGAACAAATCGCCAATAATAAAATTATATATATTAACGAAAAATATAAAGCTCCACTTTCGATAGATATGGAGACGGGGATACTTCAATCTGTGAATTTTAAACATCAAACTGCTGGAAAAGAATTGATACCAGCAGAATCATTCGCTTTAGCTTTAAAACGATTCATGTTTCGATTTTTACTTTTAGAAAATCAAAAAGTAACTGAACCGTTATATATTTATTTGAAAGATTTTTCATTAAATTTCTGGCCTTCAACAGTCTCAGAGCACCTCATTGATAAAACGTTCCCGGAAAATTTAATGTTAGCTAACACATCTGCTGCCTATGAATTTACAATGAAAAGGATTGAGGTAAAAAATATTTAAATTTGTTTATAAGAAATTTATTGATGATTTTCAAATTGATAAAATCTATTTTTTTTTTCCTTTAAGAAAACGGTGAGAGAACAAGTTAATAATCAACAAATGATAGAACAAGCTAAGAACCAACAAATGAGAGAACAAGCTAATAATCAACAAATGAGAGAGCAAGCTAAGAATCAACAAATGAGAGAACAAGCTAATCAACGCACGACAGAACCGCTCAATAATCAACAGGCGAGAAATTTGCCCGGTAATCAAAAGTTGAAAAAACAGGTTAGTTACCAGCAGTTGAGAAAACCAGCTAGTTACCAGCAGTTGAAAAAACAAACTAGCATTCAGCAGTTGAGCAAACTGTTTAGCAGTCAAGAGGTGGAAGAACAACTTAGTGATCAAGACATTAGAAGGCAACCTAGTGGTCAAGAAATGAGAGAAAAACCAAGTATTCAAGAGACAATAGAACAACCTAATAACGAACAAACACCTAATAATAAAAAGACCGAGTCAAAAAGTAGACCCATAACAGGAATATTTAAAGTTAATTCATCGTAACGAATTTCATTAGTAAAGATATAGTTTATTAAGTGTATGAGTCGCTTTTCTTTCTTTTTATTTTATTTTTATATGAATATTATATTATTATATTTTATTGAATCAAAATAATTTTTTTTTTGTTTGCGAACTAAAAAATCTCATAAAAATCCCGATTTACATTCGTGTAACAATAAATTTTTTTTTTGAATTTATATAAAAAGGGTTAATTGAACTAAAATAAGGTTAATAAATGTTCATGTATGTACTTTTTAGGAATAAATAAACAAAACAATGATTAAAAGAAGTTAAAGTTTTTGACCATTACTTTTTTCTCCCACATCGAAATTGTAAAAAAGTATTCGACTTCGAATATTATATCAGCATCATGTCTTTGCAAGCTATAGAAGAAATTGAGAATGTTGTAACAAATGGAATTTATACTTTTATACACGATGGAAAAAAGGGAAACAAGTTTCGGGTATTACTTACATATACCTCTAAATATGATAAGGAATATAACTTGAATGAAATTTTGGATTTACACAGACAGGCTCTTTTAATAGCCACTACGGTTAGGACAAATGAAAATAATACAATAAATGATAGAAATGTGAATGAATTCATTGCCCAAGTTAAAGTTTTGCAAGAAATACTTGATGTTTTATCCGCGTTAAACCAAATGGGTCATTTTGGTTATAGAAAGTTTGAAAAAAATTTACATGGATTAGAAAACATGAAAGTTTATCTTAAATCTTTAAAGGATGAATCGGCAAACTGGTAATTATAATTTATATTATCTTATTTTATATTTTCTTCCTTTTTTTTTTTTAAAAAAAAAAAGTTTAACGAATTAATAATTTACAACTTTTATAGGCAAATTATAGTGAATAATGCTCTAGAAAGGTGTTATTATTTAACATTCTTTTCTGCTCGTCAAATTTTATCATTTTATGATTATTTCACATCAGAAAATTTAGATAAGGAAAATGAAGAAGAATGTAAAATATTAATTAGATTTGTAAACAGCAAAGCTCAGTTATCACCTCGAGAGGGTGTCCAAAAGATATCACATGAATCTAATGATTATCTTGAAATACTTTGTGAAATTGGTAATGAATTAGAAAGAATGATTAGAAATGTTCCAAAACATTCTCGTAAGCTTAAAACTCTTGGACAACACGTAAAGTCGGATATTGTTACGAAGGGTAAATTATTCGTTGCGGCTTGTAACAACACTACATTAATTTCAAATATCATCATGTCGTTATTCGCTAATCATGGATCTTACCCAGAACCATGGCAACTTTTAATATGCACTTCGTCAACTACGATTGAAGAGCTCACAATTTTCATTAAAAGAAGTTTTTTTGCTTCAAATAATGAATATGAGAATCATTTATTCTGTATTGCAAACCTAGAATTATTAGACTTTGAATTACAATATAATTTGATTAATCAAATCAGATTAATGCGAGACCATGAGGAAAATTATCATTTGGCACTTATTTGTTGTAGTGAACCTGGAATGCACCATAATGTCTTGGATCAATTCTCCTTCGATGTCCACGCAACTAACGGTTTGTCTACTGATACAATGACAGAAATTTATCATGATTTATGTCAAAATGTTATATCCGTCTCATCTGACTTATCCGGACAAGGTAAAACTGAATGGATTAAAGAAAGTAGCTGCAATAAAAAGAAAATTCCGCATAGCTTTTTAATAAGCGATGGTATGGAATATTTTAAACTTGTGCATAAATTCAAAAAATGTAAACTTAGTCCCGAAGAAAGTTTACATATAAATATAGTATCTTCGGATCATCCTGAAGATGTCAATATGTTTTTATTTGAGTTATTAACTTTGGGAATAGTTTCTAACAATGATGAAATGGCTAGTCTTCCACCCTCAGAAGAACCTATACAAATATTTATCGAAATAGCCTTCACTAAAGAACAACGTTTGCTTAATTCTCTTCCTATGGTGAGATATTTATTGTCCAAACATTTAACTTGGAATATAGAAAATTTGAGGATTTCTCAACAAATTAATAGTCCAATTCAGATTACTTGTCATTATTTGAATTTGTATGATCTCAACGAAATAGATACAAAAGAAATCCTTATTCCAACTGATGAAGAACCGTTACCGGTAGAACGTTGCCAGAACCTTATCGAAAAATATTTCTTTTATGAAAATTCCGAGAATGTTTTATCATTTAGATACGTTGAAATCTTTGTTAATGTTCTTGCAGAACAATTAGTTCGATTATCATCATGTCAATTCTTTACCATAGAAAATCTGAAATTCGCGATGGGAAACATCAATATTAGATCTTTAATAGTTGGAACTTTAATAAATGTTTCAAAAGATTTTGCAACCAGATCTATTAAAACAAAGGCGTTACAAAACGTATCTTTATTTGACACTTCTCAAATTGGCTCCATTGTACAATGGGATAATTCAAACCATAATATATTATTTTTTAATTCTCAAATTCCAAATTCTTTTTCTATGTTATATTGCGACAAAAATAGAGTTCCCAATGAGATTAAATTATTGCTAAAGAGTCAAGCAATTGGTAATCCAGAAAATTGGGAGTTGGATGATTACAATACAATGTCTGTAAATGAGCTCTTAAAGAAGTTAGAAGCAATGACACGAAGTTCGACAGAAAAATTAAACTTACCTGAATATGCTTTATCTAGTGATAATTTGATAAAAATGGCATTAATACTTTTAAGAGTTCGTGCAAACATACCGGTAGTAATTTGCGGTGAAGTGGGATGTGGCAAGGTACATTTGTTATAATTATATATTTTTCTAATATACAGTATCTTATTTTATTAAATTTTTATTTTAATTTAGACTAGCCTAATTTCATATTTAGCTTTTTTGTCTGAGGTTAAATTCCTTTCCCTTAACCTTCATGCCGGAGTTGATGAAGAAGCCATCATTTCATTTATGAATTATGCTTTGGACGAGGCTGAAAATGGCGAGATTTGGTTATTTTTTGATGAAATCAACGCTTGCAATCACATGGGCTTATTTGCAGAATTAATATCTCGTAGAATATTTAATGATAAACCTATACATACAAATATTCGCTTATTTTCTGCTTGCAATCCATACCGTATTCGTACAAAAGGTCAAAATGAATCTAGTTTAACAAGTAAAGTCAAAAATTACGAAGAAAAAAGTAATCTTATCTACCAAGTCAAACCACTTCCCGATCAAATCTTAGACTATGTATGGGACTATGGTATTCTAAAGTCAGATGATGAATGCAAATATATTCAAATTATGATTGATATGGAATTAAAAAAACTGGCAAGTCCCGTATTTGCCAACCTCTTATTCGCTTCTCAAAAATTCATACGTGAGGTTGAGGAACCGTATAGTGTCAGCTTGCGTGATGTCAAGCGAGCTATTAAATTAGTGAATTTCTTTTATAATTCTCTTGAGAATCGTCCGCCTTTAAAAAAAGGACATAAATATCCAACACCTGGAAATCCAACCATAACAACTAGATCTTACATTTTAGCACTCAGTCTTTGTTACCATTCTCGATTATGTGCTCATGAATTACGTAAACAATATCGTCAAGAAATGGAACAAATCTTAAAAAATCATAACGTTTATGAAGAAGATATATTTGTCAAAGTTACCCGTGAAGAACAGGAAGATTACATTAATAGAATGCAATGTCCACCTAACATAGCAAAGAATGAAGCTTTAATGGAAAATGTTTTAGTAATGATTGTATGTATATTAACCAAGATTCCTGTGTTCATTATTGGAGAAACAGGGTATGTGTTTAAATATGTGTTCAGCGTATTAATATGATTAATTATTCTTCATTTTAATCTTTATAACTATATGTATGTATGTATATATAAAGATCCTCAAAATCTTTAACGATAGATCTTATAAGTTCGAATTTACGTGGAGTTGATTCAAATGATGAATATTTTAGATCTTTACCACACGTTCACTTAATTCCATTTCAAGGCTCTTCAATTTCAACTTCTGATAGTTTATTAAAAGCTTTTGAGAGAGCTGATAAATATCAGTTAACAAGTTCCCGAGAATTTCCTGTTATTAGTACTGTTTTGCTTGATAATGGTAATTTTAAATTTCATTAGATTCACCAAAATAATATTTTTTATTCTAAAATAAATTTTTTTTTTTTAGTCGATTTGGCTGAAAAAAGTTCTTTCAATCCCTTAAAAGTACTTCATTTTTTGCTCGAACCAACCAACGTATCAGTTATTGGGATATCAAATTGGCGCTTGGATAAGAGTAAAAGCAATCGTGTATTACTCGTTCAAAGGTATATTTATAATTAAAAACCTTTATTATATAAATATCAATTTTAATTTCTAAGTTAATCTTTCAGACCACCATTTGGTTTAAATGATTTACTCGATATTACTGAGAAATTATTAAGTACGAAAGTTAAAGAACCTGTTCAAAAAATCACGTTAGAATCTTTGGTTAAGGCATATTCAGGTTACGTGGAACACGGTCAAACCTTTTCCAATTTCCATGGTTTTCGAGATTATTACTCGTTTATCAAGCTACTTTCACTGGCCGAAATGTCACCAGATAATATTCAAATGGCATTTGCTCGTAATTTTGGTGGAACAGAAAATAATGCAGTATTATGCAAAAAATATTTTGGAGATTTTTTCAAAACATTTAATAATCACAATTCAAGTTTTTATAAATCAATTCCAATCGAGCAACGAATCGATTCAAATTTAGATGATCCTGATGCGCGTCATTTAATGGTTATTGGTAAAAGTGATTCGATCGTAGATTTATTAATTCATCAATTAAGGAAAAAGAATTTGGATCATCATGTAATTTTAGGATCACAATTTCCTGAAGACCAGGTTGATTATTTTATTGATGTTTTGGATAGAATCATGGTAATATATTGTTGATAAAGAATTTTTTTTTTTTTCCCTTTTACATAACTTAAACTTAATTTGATCACATAATTAGGCGTGTGTCGAAGCAGGCAAACCATTGATTATAGCAGATTTGGAAAAGATTTATGGTATTTCTTACTAACGTCACTTAAATATCTTTTTTTTAAATATAAAACTCAAAATAAGTAAATTGCGTTAAATAGACAATCTTTATGATGTATGGGATAAAAATAAAGAAATTGCTATACATTATACGAAGGCTCTCAAAGGATATGCCGATCCTATGTAAGTATACATTTGATTTTGTTGTAGGTATTAATTTTTTAGTTCTTACATTATTATGATTATACAGTCACGTTTCACCGAACTTTAAATGTATTCTTGTCATGGATGAAAAGGAATTGACTTTAGCTGATGCTTCCCTTCTTAATCGATTTGAAAAGCAAAAGATGTTGATTAATGACGTCCTTAATACTAGACAAGTATCACTTGTTGAAAAGTTAGGTGATTGGGCAAGACGCATGTCAACATTAACTGGAGTTGATCAAATATCTGAATTACATAAAAATGAATTTACGCAAAAAGATCTGTTTATCGGATTCAATACGAATGAAACATTACAAAGTTTGATCATTGACTCTACAAAGAATAATCCCAAAGTTACGGATGAAGAAATTCTAATAAAGTGTAAGGAACGTCTAATAGCAATAGCAACTTCTGATGGAATTGTAAGAGCTGAACAATCAATGTTAGAACCAGATGAAATCGAACGAGTGAAAGAAATTTATTTTCAACGAAAACGTGATAACCTTTACGAATATTTTGATGATTTATTAGTTAATCAAAAAGATCCCAAAGGACACTTGGTAATTATCAACACATTCTCTAATTTTAATTCCGATGTCAAGTCTTGTTTACCAGACTATGTAAAGTGTCAAGAGGATAAATTATCAACTTTCAAGACTGAAGCTCAACTTTCAAATTGGGTAATTAAACATTTATTTCATATACATCACATTTCCTTTTTTATAAAACAAAACTATTGATAAATCCGTTACATACTTATAGGTAAAATATTTCTGGTTAGAATCAACTGATCAGATGTTAATTCTCCAATGCAATGTAACTACCGAAAATTTCAAATGTATAAAGCTAGCTAAATTCATTATCGAACAATTTCGAAATGAATTCATAGCAAAGAAAGATCAAAAGGAACCACCCATGAAGCATGCGTGTATTATGCTTCACATTCTTCGAGATCATGAGCATACTTTATCAGATTTTAATTTCATGTGTGGTTGGAAAAAAGTATTCATAGAAACTTTATCAAGAAATGACACTCCTTTATATAAACTTTTGAATGGATCATTAACTGAAATCATCAATTCTATTTATCCATTCGAAAAAATTGTAAAACAAGAATTACTGTGGTGTTTATTGTGCATGAACTATCCGTCGAATGATAATTCTGCCAAACACATTAAGTAAGAGTTATCCTTATATTTAAAATCTATTTTCTTTTCCCCTTCAAATACTAACTTGAACGGTTTTTTTAAAATATAGGATATTAAGTGAAAAACTATTAGAATATCCAGACATGATCGAATGTCTGAAAGCAAAAACTTTAGAATGGATCAAAAAGAATTTTACTGATAATTTGAAATATAAAGTTGCATCAGACAAGCAAAATTTACATCCATATGCATCGTTTTCCGTAGCATTACAAGTTCATATTAGTACTTTAGTTAGGATACCGATAGCTCGAATTTTATGTGCTCTTGAAAGACTATCCGCAACAAATACATTTTTCCACATTGTTGATTGTGCAGGTGATGATGTAGGATTACTAGAGTTTTGGAAAACTATTTTTATGGATTATAAAATTGTCAATATTGATGATTTACCAGATCCAAAACCAGATGGATATACTATGCCAATGGAACATTTTTATGATCTTGAATTTCCTTTTTCATTTTACTTTATGAAACAAATTGATAATTTCAAAATAATCTATGAAGAGGAATTGGTAGTTTTACGTCAGGATAATAATAAAGTTGATAGCAAAACTAATGAGCTTTATGATTGGGTAATTGAAAATCATCTGAAAGAATTCAGAAATAAGGTTCTAACATCAGTACCTCATTTAAAAGATTCTCCTCTTGAGCGGTTCCCTCAATTATATTTTAATGATTTTGTTACTGTATTTTCGACAAGATATGGCGAAAATGTTAATGAAAAGATTTTATCATTAATTTTTAAGTTACTTGTTGGTGCTGATAAAGTGTTTCAACCGATTTTCCTTCATACTTATTGTTGGAAAAATTCCAATGAAGTATTAGCTCAATTACAATTAGCTCAAATGGCCCCAGAAATTATTCAAAATATTCAAGAGCAAGATAATATTACGGCTGAAGGAAGTTTAGGAAAATTTCTTGTAAGAGAAACAACAAAATTGATGCTCCAGAAAATATGTGGAAATCTAGAAACTGCAACGAACGTTCATTTTATAGATGGATGGAAACATGATGTTACAAAAGTACTATCTCTTAGTAATAAGATAATGCAAGCGCGAAACTTGCCAGATCTACTCATATTACACGTCATAAATGATTTGATTGCAATAAACGTTCCTTTAAATAGTATCATAGAAATTGCACAACGTGAATTAGATTTGAATATACAAGAAGTTGTTTCTGAGGAATTTGTCAGCACTGTACTTGATAAATTAGATAACTCGGAACAAAATGAAAAGAATTCGATAATAAGAAGATCATTTATCATGAGATGCCTTGAATTAATTCCGATTGAATCTGATGTTCGACTAAGTCTTTATAAAACATTATTCTCACGTGAACCTTTTCCATTAATGAGTTCGATAATTAAAAGGATCTTTCTTAGAGAGGACAATGAAAATGTTAATATATTCATTACAATAATTATAAATCCAGAGGAAGCTTTTGGAAAATCCGTTCGGCTAGATGTTATTAATAAATGTTTCAAAGACTTGGATACAGATATGGCAATATTATGCTGTGATGTCATCGAACAAACTTTCTTTATGGATTTTAAAATAGAAAATTTTAATTTAGATTATTTAGAACATGCTCTTCGAGTTTTACCTAGACAGGATACACCAGCATTGCAAAAAATAACTACTATCGCTTTGCTTAAAGAATTTGTTCGTCGAATATGGGATAGTTTACTTCTAGAAAATAAAACTAGTGACAAAGTTGAGTTGGATAATGATAGAATAGTCGATCAAATCAATAATAGTATGAATTTCGCTCATCCCTTGATTCATTCTCTCAAAATTTACTTTTTAAGAGATTTGCGACAAAGAGTTTTTTCAATTGAAGAAGTTAAACTATTTTGCGAAGTTCAGAACGATGTTCTACCTTGGCTTGGAACTTTAAATTGGGAAGGCATCAAAGAAAATCGGATGCCTTTTAATCCATACTGCGATTTGCCCGAATATAACAATGCTGAAAGAAGTTTTACGAAATTCTATATTATGGGTAATAAAGCACCTTTCCAAGCATTCATGCGAGAAATAAAACAAAAAGATACCTTAACAGCAAGATCATCTTTAATAGGACTTCTCATCGTACGTCTTCATTCTTTAAGGGCTTCGGGAGAATGGCAGCATTCAGAAACGCGATCAGCCGAGTTCTTGATTAATGAAATCGTTGGAATGGATAACCTCCCAGAATTATTTAAAACGATTACAAAAAACATTTTGTCAAATAATTTTCCATTACTTAAAATCAATTCAGATATTAATGATACAGATTTATTCTTAAAAACTGTTATTGCACATATTATCACACTTTTCGCTTCAGTTGAACCGAATTCATCTCAATTAGCAATGTACTTACACAGATTACAAGATTGTTATGATTTGTTTATTTTAACAAGTGCTTCTGATATAGAATCGATAGTGTTGAATGCAGTTGCTGGTGAAGGAGTCGCAAGATATTCCTGTCAATGTGGTTTGAAATATGTCATCTCGGCTTGTGGTCTTCCTATGGAATATAGTGTATGCCCGAATTGCCAACATAAGATTGGCGGGGCTGATCATATAATTGGAGAAGGAAACACCAAACTCGATGAATCAAATATTAATCAAGTATCAATAAATGATCAAACAGGATATGTTGATGAACCTGCCAATCCAACTTTGAATCATTTCGTTAGATCTTTACCAGCTATTTCATTTCGTATTTTGCATTTAATTGTTCATGTACTTATCGGAGCGTCCGCACCTCAGCCTGCACTTGATTTCCTTCGAAAAAATGATCAAACGATTACGGATGATGCCGAAAAGTATTGCATGGATCATATTGGAATTGATTGGACAGTTCTCAAAAATCTCCTTAATTGTTCAGATGAGGTATGTTATATTATTGCCTATTTATTTTTAATATGATTATTTACTAACCAATTTGTAACTTTAACCAGATTTTAGCGTTAGTTTTTCATTCATTAATTTCTTTAATGATGGAAAAACCTCCATTACCGAATCAACGAATAACAACAACCACAGAACGCGAAAATTGGGAAACAGAGTTTCATATAAATTATATTGAACCACAAATCAGAAATATAACAGAAACAGTAACTAATTACCGTATTACATTAGACGAGGTTTTAGCTCAAAATAAAAATCAAATTGATAATAATATGATTGAGAGCGAAATCAATCAAACTTTAATAATGGATCAACAAGATCAAAGTGAATATTTACCATGTTTATGGAGGAATATTGGAGTAATAAATTTTGAAAGTTTCCATGCTTATTATAACAGTGATTTGGAAAGAAACACGAAAAACTATCCATTTCTTTCATTATTTTTCAAACATGCTAGACAATTAGAATTACTTAAACATCTCTTACCTATTTTAAAGTTTGTTCAAGTTTTGAATTCCAAACTTGGGCATCGCTTAACAAGACAAAAGGCAAGAGAAATGACTTTCGAGAGTTTTTTAGAAAAAGTATCAAATAATCCTGAAAATCGTGAAATTTTCAATAGAGCCTTTAATGATTTTAAACTTGGTTGGAATATAGTTATACCTAATATTAACCAGTATCAAAATCAAAAACTTTCAAATATACCAGTCATGGATTCTGGGCTTTCGATTGTTTTGGGTTTAATGGAACCGAAAGATGATGGGATTTTCTTATGTGCGGTCTTAGAATATTTAGTTGCTTTACAAAACAATTTCCTACAAGAAGTTATGGCAATTTCACCAGGGACTTGTCAATCTCTTAAGTTTTTATATGAACCAATATTTGATGAACAAACAAAAGCAGAATTGATCAAGCCGGATACGTCTAATAGATATTGCATACGATCTATACGCATTGATCGTGCACAGCCCGGAAATATAGTAAATTTTACTTTGGACAATGAAACTTTTGCATATAGCCAAAGAAATTTCGAAGTTTCAAAAGGGCAATGTATTATTTATGATTTAGTAAAAATTGAGGAGGAATTAGCAAATATTTTAACCTTTGATAAAGTTTATTTAGAAACGCAACCGGGATCTCAATTATATTTAGAACCTTTCCTATATCAAATGGAATTGTTCACCGGCATATGTATGAGAATCCTTGGCGATATTAAGAATTTAATCCTTCAAGAACCAATTCCAATTGAAAAAATGGGCTTGTTAGGTGCACAATTTTCACAATTAACTTTAGAAAACGCGATGGAGACCTTATCATCATTGGAAATTCTTCTGTGTTTTGTTAAACGTACAGCAATTGGATATGGAGAATATTCTATCAAGGATTATGTTAATCAATGGATTCAATTATCATTATTGATCGAACATG